AAAAGCCGGCCGGCCGGGTCTATTTAAAAGTTTCATGTTATGAAAACCAAGTAATCAAATTTGTATGGCCTAATATACAATAATCAACTCTTTTTAATGATTACTTGAACCAAAATTTTTCATGAAAAAAAAGTCAAGTTTGAATACTAAAGAGTAGAAAAGACCTGTAGTAGGTAGACAACAGTGTAGTTTTTATAAAGATCGACCTTTTGTGCTTTTACAGAGACTCCTTTATATATTTAATATGCAAGCTGAAAGCATCTTTATACAAGATAACTGGCTAGGAAAGTGTGCCCTTGTATATGAAATTTTGATAAAGATTATGATTTTTCTCTGTCAATGAAGCAATTTGTTGTGAAATAACTAGAAAATAGTGAAGAACTTGCTATTCTTAAGCCACACTTTTTTATTTAGCCAAGTGATTCCTCTTTTACTTACTTCCACTTTCCTGCCAGCCTTTTAAATTTTTTTATAAAAAGTAGGGAATTTGGCTTACTCCCCAAATTCGGACAAATTAGTGAAATACAACCACGTGTTTGTTTACGGACAAATATAGCACTATTTCACAGAACTTGGTCTGAGAACTCTTAGGCAATAGAGCTATTTGGAGTTGATAGGAAGGTTAGAAAGTAAATTTAATATTAAGGCGAAGCTTTATAATAAAGATATACAAATATTGTATTTGTTATATAATTTTTATTAGCTATGTACAGGTTATAATAATGCCTTCAGAGTTTTAAATTTTTTTTCTTTTTTCGCAATCAGTGTTTCTTTTTTCTTTTCTGTTTTTTCTTTTTCTAGTCATTTTCATATTTTTCTTTTAAAAAATTTTACTCTTTGTCTTGTGCTCCTTGAGAAAAAAGAAAAAAAAAATCTTGACGCAGTATATAACAGCCTGCCAATAATCAAAGAAGCATCATTTTAATGATCAAAATCTGAAGTAAGTTTTGGATCCCAAGTGAGACTAATAGTTGTTATAGCAGATCACATTTGGTTTTAACCTGGTGAGTTTTTATTGAGTTAGAGCTACAAGTTGTAAGGATTTAGTATATTTGTGTATATGAATTATATAACAGCTCATATAAATAAAGGCAGGATCACTTAAACATAAGAAAATCAAATACTACTATAATATAATCAGGGAGAAAAATTTGATGTGTGCTTGTGTGGTCCGCATATAAAAATTTTTTGTGCACAAAAAAAATTATAATATTGTATGCAAAGCGCATGTAATTTTTTAATAATAATTTTAAAATAATGTGCGCAATATAGTTAACTCTGTTCTGCTGTAGCAAACTTTGCGCACACTAAGTTTAAAATTTGGTGCGCAACGCGCACTAAATTTTGACTCTGAATTTTTCTCCCTGAATATAATTCTTATTTAAAAAAGTAAATTACTGTATAAGTAAATTTATAGCAATTTTCTAGGCAAATTTGACTAGAATTTCTTATAGTTTAAAGGATAATATTTGGCTAAAAATTTTAGAGTAAAAAATTACAATCTTTATATCTCGTATAAATTAAAATAGTATATTTTTTTTATAAGCACAAGGCTCAAAATATTCTTTTAAAAAGTCACGATTTATATTACACAAAATTTTATTTAATGAAATTTTTTTCTTATACCGGGCATTATACCCCCGTTAAAATAATTTGGTTTAAATATACAGTATATACTCTATATAGCAGTAAATCTAAAAGCATATTTTTTGCAATACTACGTATAAAATAGTTTTTTATTTTTATATCGTTATACACAAAGACTAACAATTTATTGATTTGATCTAATTGATTTTTATCGGTACAGATGCAAGGATTTTAAATTAAACAATCACATGAACAAGCAAGTGTGGTGCTAAACTATCACATGTAAATAACTAGTGAGGGAAGTGTTAGATAACATAGGGCAGTAGGGAGGTAGACAAATCTCAAATCTACGTAATATTACATATAACCAATCAGAATAACTAAATTTCTCAGAACTGATAGCTAATATTTGACACGTCCCTAATATGTAACATTTTATTAATAATTTTTTATTTGATATTTAACACCACATCCTGTGCTCCATTTGAGATGTTTTGTGCACCCAGTCCTATAGGTAAATTTCCAAACTTTGTGTAAGCTGTTAACGACCAGATACATACATGCACGTACTGTACACACATTATTGCATACAGTATATGCATTTCAGAGATGAAATGATTCTATAATTGTTCTTTCCCTATTTTATCCTTATTATTTCCACTCAATAATAATATTTTGGATTGGTCTACTCATTAAGTGACTTTAGTATGCATTGACAAAGAAGTTGGTTCATTAAGAATGTGCTTTGGCCTGCAGTTGTGTGAAACTCCAATTACGTAGATTATGGATCACGAGAACTACAATCGTTTGGGAATTTTGGGGCAAATATGTATCAATTTGTCAAAAATAAAAATATACATGTGACTTAAAGTATTTAACAACATTAAAAAATAAATATAAACGCAAGAATGTATATTGTACCTCCATAGTAAATTATTGCTTTATATACAAAACCTTGTTTATTAAATATATAGGTATAAATACACCCATGATATTCAATAATCTTACACTCCTTTTGGCGAAATTATCTTGAATGTCAAAATCTAATATCTTGCAAGATACTAATAATATAAAACGAAACACAATCTTTTTCCTTGAACTTTGGTATTAATTAGAGTTGACTAGTAGTGACCCACAGCAAACCACTGGAGCAGGTTACTAGTGGTTTTTTTTTGTGAACACGAGAAAAGAACACTTTATATGAACCACGTTCGTTCTTTTTAGAAGTTTAGAACTTCGAAAAAAGAAAACGTCAATATCCCAAGTTTGTAAGGTGGCCTGTTTTCAGGATAATTCAATGACCGCAAAAGTGACGTCTACTATAGGTGTTTGGGCTCGTAACTTTTTATTACCAAAAACAACTCATAACAACTCGCATTTTGTTGAGTATCACCACCATACTTCTTTTCTATCTCAATCTCATTCACGTTTTGCACCTACAATTTCTGAAAAACAAGGCTTTCAATGCGGAAATTCACAAGCTACTCCTAGTGACCAACAATTCAATCAAGCATGGTACCAAGGGGTTCCTCCACATTCTTCTGTTAAAGTAGCAACCGTTATTGCTGGTGCCACTGCTGCCTTTTGGTATAATCATCGTGATGAAAATCTTCAATGGAAACAATTTTTACCTCAATTTAATAATACAACATGTTATCAAAAATTATCTGAAGGTTTCGGTTGGTTATCAGCAGTAATTGATGAATCATGTTCGCGACAAATTTATATGATGGGTATGATGCCAAGGAAAGTTAAAGCAGGAAGTTGTGAACCACTTCTCACGCCTCCACTTACACCTGATAACTCTCCACCTGGGTCGGATGATAGTTTCAAATCATCTCGTGTTTCAAAAGGGCTTGAGACTGGATGTAAATCAAGTTCACCACTTGAATCAGCCATTTTTGATTTTGAAACTTTTATAAATCGTAATGTTGCACGCGCTGAGAACATTACTGGATTATATTATGCGAGACATAACAAAATGAACAATGTAAAATCACAAGATTCCACGACACATACTCCTGCTCATTTCTTTCAACTTGCATCAGAAAAATTTCATCCTTCAGCGCGATTTAATTTAGCATTATGCTATCATTATGGTAAAGGTGGTGTAACATATAACCTTCCTAAGGCTATTGAATATTACACACTCGCAGCTTCTGATGGACATAAAATTGCTCAATACAATCTTGGTGTATTATATCAAAAAGGGGGTAAAGGAGTTGAAAAGGATGTAGGGTTAAGTTTGGGATGGTTACAAAAAGCAGCTGAAGGAGAAAATGGATATTTACCTGCAAAACTTGCGATTGCGATGTTATTGCAAAATGGAGTTGAAGGTATCATTCCTAAAAATGATGACCGTGCAAAAGAAATTTTAAAACATCTTGTAGAAGAAAGTCGACACAAAATTGGAAAACCTGGAACTAATGCTAATCATGATCCTATTTTGGAATTAACTTCAATATCCTCAGCAGCGCTTGCAAGGTATTATTTAGAGAATTTGTCAACAAATTCACAATTACCGCAGCATCATCAACTTACAACATCTGCTCGGTATCACTGGGAATATTTGTCACATCCACATTCACCAGCGGCTATCTACAATCTTGGGGTATTGTACGAATTTCACTTGAACGATATTCAATTGGCTGTAAAATGTTATAAATTAGCTGTTCAGCTAGCGAATATCAACAAATCGTTCAATAATAGTCAGTTACCCTCTTCAATCAATCAAGAAGATCTTCAATGCGTACAAAACGCTATGTGGAACTTGGGTGTTATATTTGCAAAAGGAAAAGGAGGTTTACCAAAAGATTTCAAGGAAGCCAAGAGATGGTTTAATGGAATAAGTGATAAAAATCAAGAGATGAAAAAATTGGAAAAATGGTTGGATAGAAAGTTAAAGAATGTTGATTTATAAAAATGATTTAATGATTGTGTTCTTTTTTTTTTTTTTTTTTTTTTTTTTCATGAATAACTTAATGAATGGGTTGTCTATATTTTTATGTACACATTACTAACATTATAACCGGGCAATCAATCCGACATCTTGCAGGTCATTGTATTGTCTATCAAATATCTTATACAATTTTAACGTTATATTTTTATTGTTTCAAAAAAAAAAAAAGAAAATTTTTATGCTTTTATATGCCGATAAATATATATAAAAAAAAAAGAAATTTATATACTAAATTATATATCAGATATGCAGTTTTATATTATATAATATTTATTGCACAAATACTTTAAACCCATCGAGTATTGTTGAGATATGTTGTGAATAGAAAATTTTTATACTGTATATAATTATTAATAAAATTTTGTGTTGAAGTATTGTAGATAGCTATCCAAATTTACTTATATCAATAAAATTTAAAGCTAATTATTGAATACAGTATAATCAACTTTGATAAATTTAAATTTATATACAATTTATTTGTATCAAAATTATTATATCAAGTTCGAAGTCTTGAAAAAATTAATCAAGTTAATATAAATTTTTTTTTGTTTTTATTTTACAGTATTATACTGTACATGCATAAACCACTTTTTTATCAAATTAGAATAAGCAGTTTTTTATTAAAATAATTATTATAATAAAATTTTTTATATTTTAATTTTATATATACAGTATATTATACTGTATTATTAAAATTTAAATAAAAAAAGCATTTGATTAAACTCGATTAAATAGTTATTAAAGCGCTTTTGTTAAATTTTAAATAGTGCTATATTTATTAAGATATATACTGGATATTTTATATTTGTTGATTTGAAGCACTATACGTACGTAGCGGTATTTTTTTTTACTTAATACAGTATTTAATTTCATTAGTAAAGTTTTAGTATAGTATGCAGTAATCTTTAAGATTATCAGGCTGATCTAGCTTACGATTAGTCACATGATTGCACAAGCTTTATATAAGAGCATGCATTAAATTAATAATGATAACATACGTGACTGTCAAGCATGTCTTCTTCCTCTGTAAATAAAAAATCTTCTCTGCCAAAAAACCAAACCAATAAAGATCCGGAATTAAAAGTGCGCTCATCGACGCTTTCCAATGTTTCTTTCCCTTATGCTGCTCAACCTGATATAGGTTTATTATATTCTTAAACTTTATTTTCTTTTAATATTTTGAAATTTTCTTACCGATGATTTCTTTGTAATTACATTTATTACTGTAAAATGAAGTTCTGGCAAATCAAAAAGATGTTTATTATCAAAGGATTCTAGGGGATCAAGTATCCGACATTTTTCGATTGTTCTTTGGTGTGCCTTTTTATGATATTTCCGCTATTATCAATACTAATTGGGATCTTTGCTAGGAAAAATGATCCTATAGGACTATGTAGATTTTATAACCAAAATTTAAATTTGCTAGCAAACAAACTTTTTTTTTATTTTGTAGAACTCACTAAGTTCTACAAAATAAAAAAAAAAGTTTGTTTGAATTGGATCATTGGATGGTTAGCAAATTTATAAAATCTATATAGTCTCGGAGGGTCATTTTCCTAGCAAAGATCTCAATTTATAAAAATTGCTCATATTGTATAATAATATTGTATAATAATATTGTATAATAATATTTTATAATAATATTTTATAATAATATTTAATAATAATATTTTATAATAATATTGTATAATAATATTGCATCAGGTACACGTAGACAACATTTAAACAAAAATGAAATAAATCTAGTATCCGATCTTCTTTATTTCTGTTTAACAACTCTGCTAGGTAATTTTATGAATAGATTTTTTCACACTTGTTATAAATGTTAATCATTTCGGTTTTCTGATTAAAATTTATCAAAGGTATTCAGACATTGGGCGAAGAATCTTGTGATATAATGCAGATTTCAGAAACATCTAAACAAGCCCCATCTATAAAGGTAAAGTGTAAATTGTTTCAGTATAACGCTGCCAGCTATACATTTTAAAAATTTTAAAATACGCCAGAATCGATCAATTTTAATATTCTGGCATGTGGTTTTTCCATATCTGTACACACGGGGTGTCACTAAACTACGTAGGCATTCACGTCCATCCACAGAGATAAATTCTCATAATAGTAATAATAGTAGTGATAAATTACGTGAACTTATTAACGCATTACTTGCAATTATTCCATCATTCCTAAAAAATAATATCCATGCATTGCACCTCGCTATATTTTATTTTTGCGGCGCATATTACAGTTTATCAAAACGAGCAGTGGGGATTCGATATGTAATATCAAATTCCAAATTTTTTTTTTATTGAAAATGTTCAGTTTTATATTATACGTTCTGATGTTATCTATCAGATATTTACCAGGCAGTTGAATCCTGGAGAGCAACGTATTGGATACGAAGTTCTCGGGTTTTTGCTTATTATTCAACTTTTTGTTCAATCATATCTTCAAGAAAGACGCGTAAAAACTGCTTCTGCGAAGAGTGATGGTTTAAACGATTATGATGAAGATGCTGAGTGTGTTAACTTGATGTTTATTGCTTTTTTTTTTTTTTAAAAAAAAAAAGATTCTCACAATTTCTTAACACAATAGTAATGAACCAGATTTTACTTTGATATCAGTATCAGACCTCACGCCTCAAGAAATTGCAGCTCGCAGATGCACTCTTTGTCTTTCACAGCGTAAAAATACGACGGCGACTACTTGTGGTCATTTATTCTGTTGGTCTTGTATTATTGAATGGTGTCAAAATAAGGTAATAAGAATATACTGTCCATTATATTGAGATTTTAAATTCAATATACTAAAAATGCATTATCTTTTCATTATTTAAAGCCTGAATGCCCATTATGCAGGCAATATGTTAATATTTCACATCTACTTCCTATTTATAATTACTGATATATATAGCCTGTTGTAAACAATTTTATAAAGTTTGTTCGGAAGTATGAAAATATAAATTTATATCAAAATTTATGGAAATCATCTATCTAATTTGTCATATTAGCTGCTTATTTCATCGGGCTTAAAATGTTTCTTGGTTTTTAAATACTTTACTTAAATAAAAGTCTTAGCACGACTTGCAAAATAAACGTTGTTTTTTAAACAAATTTATAATTATTATATTCCAGTTTGCTCTTTACAATCACTTAAATACTCAGTTTGCAGTGATACTATAGGATGTGGTTTGATAATTACGTCTTTAGATTTTAAATTAGAATAATTTAAATTTGGACTAGTGTATACTCGCGTTTATACGTATAAATTTGATTAAACATATATATACATGATAAATAATTATATAATTATTTTTAACTATAAAAAAAGTTTGTTAAGTTTTTTTTTGCTAGAATTAAATTTCGAAGCCCACCTGAAACCGGCTAGATTATGAGAATAGACAATATATGAGCGACGCTAAGTAAAAATGGACTTCAATCATATAAAACTCATATGATTGAAGTGCCATTTTCCCTTGGCGTCACTCATATGGCCTAAGATATTTATTCATAAATACACTTAGGAGATTACTGTACTCACTTACTAAATCAACACGAAAAATCTCAAATCAGCGTAACGGTAAATAAAATGAGACCATGGAGTAGCTTATCTGAAAATCATCCATTCTGTTTGTACAATCAAAATGGTACTGAAATTTTGAAATTTGTTTTCCAATTTTGATTACTACTATTTACGAATTAGGTGTACAAAAAGCGATAACGATAATGAGAAATATTATAAATACAGTATTTATCATGAATAATTTGGAATACATTGATTAAGTCAGCGTGAATAAAATAATCCCAAATAAAGACATTATGAATAGCTACTTGAAATGCATTAATTACATCACATAAAGGCTTTGTTCTCAGATTAAGAACTTTCGGCACGTGACTGATGCAAATTACGCCGCATCACATTACTATTAGTGATAATTAAAATTTCGCGAGAAATATCTTGTAACTTCTGTATCGTTAAAGATAATTTTTCTTCGCAATGCTCTAATCAAATTTGTGTTTTTTTTCCTTAAAAAAAAAAATTCTAGCCAATTCTCTTATTATAAACTTTGCATTTAATTTAGAAGAGAAAAAAAATCGCTCAGTATTAATCAGAGCATTGTCAAGAAAAAGTAATTTGAATTTTCTCTATGAATTATTATAAAACGCACCTATGGTGTTTTACACCTATGTATAATTTCTTTTAATAAAATTTAGGGTTAGGGTTAGAAATTAGAGAATTATTGTTTTTTTTATATAATATATATAGAGCTACTATAAGGGCCCGATAGGGCCCGATCTCAGTTCTCGTGAGGTTTTTGGGGGTCCTGAACATTTTTACTTAGAGGACCCGATCCCGTTTACTTAGTACGTTTTTGAGAAACGGGACCATAGGTGTGTTTTAGTAAAACTCTTTCTCTATTCTCTGTTTTTTTCTTCATTGAGATTCTCTTCCACGTAATAGAGTCATTTTTTATAATTTTTACAGTAAATTGTGAAAAAAAAATAAAAAATAAAAAAAAATAAATAGTTTTTTTTTTCTTGACTCATCATTCTTTTCTTCATGTAATAGAGCTATTTTTTATAATTAATTTAAATTACAATAAAAAATAAAAATCATCAATTAATTAAAATTATAAAAAATCAAAGTAACTATGAGAAAGAAAAATAACTAGAATCTTTAAGTAAAAATCATTGGCGAGCCTAAATTAGATCTATAGATTTTTACAATAATTATAAAAACAACCCCAAATTTTTAGCTATTATGCATCCTGTAATTCTGCAGATCTGCCATCTAAACGTTGACTATTGATATCGATATCGATATCGATATTAAAGTATTAACGTTAATCATATATTGAAGTTTTATATATTTGCAAGTATATATTATACATAATTTCATTTAACAATTCTGCAATCGACAATTTTATTAGATGAGAAAAATAGCATTTCAGGAAATACATGTAGGCATGTAGATTTTGTGAATAAAATTTATACTTACTAGCCATCTAATGATCTAATGATCTAATTTGTAATAGACTTTTTCTTTCCACTTAGTAAAGTTCACTAAGCTCTATGAAAGAGTTTATTCATTAGATAACTATATAGTATATTTAAATTTTATTCACCTTCGAAGTGTCATTTTTTCATTTTTAAGCAAAGATCTTATACTGTACATAAGCAGCCAATAAAGTTCAAGGGATCGATATTAAATATACAGTATATGGGGTATTATCTATTAAAACAGCCCTTTTTTACATATATTTCATTTTGAGATAATTGAGTTTAATCACTTGTTTTGATTTTCGGACTGATCCGGGATTAATCAAATTTCACGATTTTGATTGGTTAAAGGTAACAGGTGACTATCGGGTAATCTCGTGATGTGTTGGCCTTGGGCAGCTTCATGTAATTTTTCTTTTACATTATCTTGATTTTTTATTATGCAAATCGACTTTCATTTATAATTGAAAAATGTCAAGCATGTCAAAATTTATAAGAATCCAATAAAAACTCATTTTTCGAAAAATTGCAAAAAAGGGCTGTTTTAATAGATAACACCCCATATATCTGATATATATATATGTATATTATAAATACATACTATCTTCTATAGAATATCATACACGGTGTTAAATTATTTCAATATTTCGTTATCATCATGTGATTACATGATCCACTGACTAGTTCAAATTCATCATACATTAGACAATAGTATGTGATTTTTTTTTTTTTAATACGTAATAAAAAGTTTGATTTTTTTTCTAGTATTTTAAAGATTGAGGTGTAAAGAGTAGCTATAAGTACTGGTTGACCTTCCTTTTACAAAAAATTCAACCATGGGAATTCCAAAGTTCTTTCGATGGATGAGGTACTCTCCTTTATTTCGTTTTGTACTTACACGTTTCATAGAAACTTTATAATACCAACTGCATCTTATTAATGCAAATTACCCTTAATCATTTTTTTCCTTAGTGAGAGATATCCACTTTGCAGTCAACTGATACAAGAAAATAGGTAAGTATTTAAATTTTCGCGCTTGTTTTTTTCTCTTCTAATAACTATCTCTTTGATATCATTTTTTATTTAAACTTAGAATTCCTGAATTTGGTATGTATCATTTATTTTAAACAAAATTATAAAATATTTTAAATTCTGAAAAGTATTGATATTTATAGACCTTTTTTACAATATAAATTTATTCCTTAAATTTTATAGATAATTTATATCTTGACATGAATGGCATTATTCATCATTGCTCCCATCCAAATGATGTGGATGCTCACTATCGCATATCAGAAGACAAAATTTTCCTTGATATATTCAACTACATCGATCATTTATTTACAAAGATTAAACCGAAAAAATTATTTTTTATGGCAATAGACGGTATTTATCCTTAAAATTTTTAATTTATACTTTAATGATAAAATAAAATTATATATATTTTTTCTTTTATTTTAATAGGTGTTGCTCCAAGAGCTAAAATGAATCAACAACGAGGTAGACGATTCAGAACAGCTAAAGATGCTGCTGAAGCAGTTCGAAGAGCTGAATCTAAAGGAGAGTCTTTGCCAAAAGAAGCACCGTTTGATAGTAATTGTATTACACCAGGCATGCTTTTTTTTTTTTTTTTAATTTCTTATGTTTAAAATATTAATAATTTCGATATTTTATGTGACAGTTTTTTATAATATTTTTATCTAGGCACGGAATTCATGTCAAAGCTTTCTCGTCAACTTGCATATTTTATTAATAAAAAAGTATCAGAAGATGCTAACTGGAGAGGCATACAAATAGTATTATCTGGGCATGGTGTACCAGGAGAAGGAGAACATAAAATAATGGAATATATTCGTAATGCTAAAGCTCAATCAGATTATAATCCTAATGTTAGACATTGTTTATATGGATTAGATGCTGATTTAATAATGTTAGGGCTTTTGAGTCATGATCCTCATTTTGCTTTGCTTAGAGAAGAGGTTACATTTGGACCTAGCAGCAAAAAGAAGAAGCATGGGTATGTTTAACAAAAATCTTACAAATTATTTAATTTAATTTATACTTAAAAATATATATATATATTATATTTTAAAATAAAATATTAGACGAATAGAATCGCAAAATTTCTACTTAATGCATTTATCACTCTTACGAGAGTATCTAGATTTGGAATTTTCCACTCTTCGTGAATCTCTTCCTTTCGAATATAATCTCGAAAGAATAATAGACGACTTTATTTTGTTGGCGCTTTTTGTCGGCAACGATTTTATCCCACATTTGCCTAATCTTCATATTGCTGAAGGGGCACTTGGTTTGATGTTTAAAGTTTACAAAAAAGTTTTACCACAAGCTGGTTAGTCGTAATTTATACCGTGATTATTTCTCATTTTTCTTCTATCAAACCACATATATATATATACTTTTGCCTCTTTAGGTGGTTATATTAATGATGGAGGAATATTAGATTTAGAAAGATTAGAGATGATATTTAATGAATTAACCGTTTTTGAGAAAGAAACTTTTGAAGGTGAATTTGATGATATAAAATGGTTCAAAGGAAAGCAACGAAAAAATATAGATCAAGTTGAAAAGGATAAAAAAAAGAAGAAATTAGGTATGTATTTATAGGTATGTCCAATCGCGACGTATATATTAAAAAAAATTTTTTTTAATTACCATTATACAAAAAAATATATTCATTTTACACCATTTTTTAGTAATTACTCCCAAGCAACAAGAAATTTTCAAGCAGATGAAAGAGTTGGTTGAATCACGATCAGAAGAACCTATTCATTTTCCTGTTGATTATCCAGCACGAGATCGTACTTTCATTAAAAATTTAGCAAAAGATTTAGCTATTCAGCATTCTGTAGAATATGAAGATGCAGGAGATAAACATGTTTATGTAGAATATGATTCTGAAGATGAATCTGAAGATGAAATGAAAGAAATGAGAGAAAAAGTATTTAAAAAATATGAAAACGCTGAGGTTATTGAGGATGAAGATGTAGAAGCTTTTGAGGAAAAAGAAAGACAACAATATGAAGCGAAATTTATTGATTGGAAAAAAGAATATTATTTGGGAAAGATGAATATCGAATATGAAAATCTGGATGGCCTAGTCGGCTCCTATGTAGAAGGATTACAATGGGTATTACACTATTATTATAATGGTGTAGCATCCTGGGGATGGTTTTATCCATATCATTATTCACCGAAAGTATCTGGTATATCGAGATTATTATTCATAATTGTATTATTTATATGATTGAATCTAACATTTTATCTTTTCTATATTCAGATTTGTACGACTTAGGAAGATTTGATATTAAATTCGAACTTGGTAGACCCTTTAAACCTTTTGAACAATTAATGGGTGTTTTACCCGAAGGAAGTAAAAAACTTTTACCATCGCCATACCAGGTGTTGTATTCAAGTCAAACGTCTTTACCAATATGAATTTTCTTCACATAATCTCACAAAATTGATCTATTTAGGATCTCATGACAGACCCTGATTCGCCGATAATAGACTTTTATCCTAAAGACTTTGATCTTGATATGAATGGAAAAAAGCAAGATTGGGAGGCCGTCGTTAATATTCCATTCATTGATCAAAAAAGACTAGTCTCTGCTCTTGATTGTAATAATCGATAATCTTAACATTTGTGTGAATACAGTCGACTCTGGATATAACGAACTTTTTTATAACGAACTCACTTTATAACGAACTTTTTTTAGCAAATTTATTATAGGGTTCGATATAAAAACATAGTAAATTCTCTATAAGGAACTTTTTAAAAATTTTTACATATAGAACCCTCAGGGTTCGTTATATGCAGAGTTGACTGTATTCTTATAATATAAATACATTGTAAATATTATACTTATTGAACTTTTTTGATATATTAGCCAAAGAACATTTATTAACCGATGAAGAAAAGCAAAGAAACAAATTTGAAGAAAGTCTCATGTTCACATACGATCAGAACTTAAACGAAAAATATCCGTCTTCTTTACCAGATTTTTTCCCAGGCAGGTTTACGCAATAATATCACTATTTATATTGTTCATTAAATTAGTGATTTTTTTTTTTACCTATCCAAAATCTTTTAGAAAATTATGTTAATATTTTTATGTTCAAATACAGATCTTAATCATTGCCATTGTCGAATGGAAACTTATAATCTCCCTACTTTAAATGGTTTATATCTTAACAAAGGCTTATGTGATGGTGTTAAATTAGGAATGAAAGCTATGGCCGGGTTCCCATCATTAGAAACAATTCCTCATACTGGAGTGCTAAGCAGACATGGTGTTAACGTTTTTAATTCAGAAAGCAGGTATAGAAACTAATTAATTATTTATTTATTTATTTATTTGTTTTATATGGTTATTATAAATGCCATGTATGACTATTTCTTAAGATAATTCAAGTCTCGGCCTTTTATGAGTTCGTTACACATAACCTCTATTTATTTATTTTTTCCTTTGGTAGAAATGAAACTATGGTTATTACACTTGTGAATGAGTATGCTGATATGAAAGCGCAGGATATAGCAATAAAAACTCTTGGCAAAAGAATATTTGTTGGTATGAATGATTTGTTTGTTAAATAGCTTGACCTCGTTTGCACTTCAATATTATCCTTGAATCTTATGAATCACGGTTTTTAGGTTGGCCTGTTCTCCAAGAAGCTTTCGTGCAGGCTATTTCCGATGAAAATTTCAGATATGAATTGTCACATTACAATAGTCAAAGACAAGATTACTTTAAGAATCACCATTTCGTTAGGAATACCAGGAATCCTCAAGAAGTTATCAAAATTCAACATAGGCAAGACGTGCTCGAACACTGGCGTCGAAAGGCTGACAAATTGGAACAAAATTATAACAAAAGATATGGAACTATCACAGGAACTGTGGAAATCTTAGCTCATGTTTTAATGCTAAAAGGTAGCATATAATAATAATTTTGTGATATACATTAGACTTATTGGTTATTCCTCAAAGTTAACAGTCTATAACTTGCTATGTTATTAAGGTCTAAGGAGACAGAGCAACGGTGCATTGGTAAAGGAATATGCAAGTCCAAGTGAAGAAATGGAATATGCTATTCAGACAACTGTGAATAGTGTTGAATGCGAAGATCCCCGATATGAAGAAAAGCCAGCAACTCAAGTAGCGGAGGAATTTCCGATCGAAACCCAAATTTTCTTCCTTGGTAGTCCATATTATGGTTGTCCAGGACTAGTTGTCAGTAATGCTAAAAAAAATTTAGCAGTGAAATTGGTGTGTAAATTTTTGGAACAAAGTTGGTTTATTATAGGCACTTTTTGATTAACATATTATTTTATAAGGTTGTTGATCCAAATAATATTGTTGAACCTGATTTCGGCAAAAAAATTGCGAATGATTTTGATAATCGTGTGAAATATCTTCCTTCTTTTCAGGTTGCAAAAAGATTAAGCATGAATGGGTTAACCTTGAGTAAATTAACAGCTAGTTTATATGTGATTTGTAAGTCAACTGATCAGCGGGTCAACCTTGGACTTAATTTAAAGTTTGAAGCAAAAAAACAAAAAGTGTTGGGATATACAAGAAAGTCACGAGATTCTGGGTGGGAATATAGTGAGAAAGCGATTGAGATTTTGGCACAATATAAGGTAACAGAATATTTACTATAAATGTTAATCTTCATATATATTAACAGAATCTAAAAATTCATAGGAAAAATTTCCGGAATTCATTCAAGCTCTTGAAGAAAAACACAAAGATGGTAGCTATGTGCCTTATTTATTTATTTTTTTTTATAAACGCTAGAATATTTGCTCTCTTCTAAACTCAATATTATTTAGAAATTTATTCTGCTGAAGATTTTTATCCTAAAGAAGAAGCTGTTTCCAAAGTTCATGCTATAAAAGATTGGTTGAGAACTGTCGAAGTAAGAGACTTCGAGAAAGTATCGCTTGATGCCGAAAGATTAGACAAGGTATAAATATTCCAATGTCATATTTCTTTATTAAAATAGTAATCTATATTGACTCAATTACATAATTATATATACTGTTATTAGGAAGCAATAGCAAAAATAGAACAAGCAGCAGATGAATTTACTAATAAAAATTCTTTCAAAAAACTCGTTGTTCAAAAAATTCCAAGAGATGTATGTTGGATAACGATTTATAATGTCTGTTTTTATATCATTTCTTCACAAAAATGAAAATTAATCCAAACTAAGTTTTGGTTTCATTTAAGGTATTATTGAAACCATCACACTCTTCAACACGTTTACAAGGTCAAAAATTTAGCCTTGGTGACCGTGTTATATTTGTTCAGGATTCTGGAAATGTTCCGATTGCTGCTAAAGGTACAGTGGTTGGTATTGAGAAAAACAATATTGATGTGGTTTTTGACGCTTCATTCATGAGTGGTTCAACGTTGGGAGATAGGTCTGTACATCTTATATTAGAACTCGATGCTAATATACATATGTTTAACTTAAATTTTCTCATTTTAAATAGATGTTCTCAGTACCGTGGTATGTCCGTACCTGGGTCTGCTCTTCTTAACTTAACAGATATGCAATTCATTGATCACAGAACAAATCATAGCAATGGAATTGTTGGATCAAGATCAATAAATTACACTTCAAATCAACCACGATCATCCTTAGGACAGAATGGTCATTCTAACCACCATAATTCATACTATGGTGGGCGTGTTGGCAATAGTAAAAATCATAATATGTATTTAAATTCGAATCACAACATAAACGGTTCACAGAATGTGAGAGCAATTATGAGTTCCAACCGAGTTCGTAGTGATGGCTATATATCAGCCTCATCAACGTCTTTATCACAACGATCGACCTCACAAATGTACGGTCTTTCGAATAAATATATACCGATTCAGAATCATGCCCCCAGTCATTACCGTAATGCATTCAACGGAAATATAAGAGGTGGAAATGGGAATGGTTTTTTACCGAGGGGTAACGCTGGTGGGCGTGGAGGACATTATAGCAATGGTGTGAACGGCTTTACACCCAGAGGACGGGGAAGAGACGACGGGAAAACATAATAGCACATAAACTATTATTTGACTTTTTGGTTACTATAGAATTAGAATTGGTCTATTTTCACTTTCTTACTATTCGATACTGCTATTGTAATACTCATTAGCAATTAGTCCCACCTGTAATTTATTTTTATGTAGTTACCTTCATTTTAACATTCACATTCCTTTGATTCATGTGCAAATGATTCGTTTGATGTGTAAGATTTCTGATCCGATTTGTTTTTAATAATTATAACACTACTGAAACGATATCTGGATCAGAACGTCGAAAATATTCATTCAATCGCCCTGATTATAATGAAGGATTATCATTTTATGTTGTGAAAATTAACCAATATTTAGGCGAGTAAAAAGAAAGCAATTAATCAGAAAATTAATTATCAAGATTTTTTTTTTTTTTTTTAAAAAAAAAGTGTATTTATAACTGATAACGCATGTATATACGTATCCAAAAATTATTGATTTACAGTTCGATACTCCGGGTCTGAATTCCTCGAAATTGTGGCCGGCAGTGTCAGAATTATTTTTACACAGAGATTAGCTGAAAGCTTAATCATATGGTATTAGTAATCGAAATAAAGCAATAAAAATAAAGCGTTTATAAAAATGTACTGTATATATGAGTGACGCCAAGGGAAAATGGAACATTGGTTTATCATTGATTATTTATTTAAACTATAAATGTTAAACCAATGTCCCATTTTCCCTTGGCGTCACTCATATGTAAATATCATATATATATATATAGTATACGGTGCAAATCATCTAATCGCATCAAAAATATAATAAATGTTGCGCCACTAAGCAAATCATTAATTAAAATAATATAGTACACGACACAATAATCAATGCATATATATTTCAGAACAAAACTACATACGTAGTAGTTTCTAATTTTTAATCAAAAAACCCAAAATTAAGATCTTTTCTTTAAATTTTAAGAAGATAATGTATTTTTATATGCTAAACAAATTTACTTAGAGCATAAAGATATTATTCATTAATAGAATTTTGATTTATATTGTTTTTTTGACAATTTTATTAGTAAAATTATAATAAATGCTATGATTTTCAAAATTTTACTATTGAATTATATCTTAATACTCTAAGTAAATTTGGTTTTGTTTTTTTTAAAAATTTGGCAGTTATGCCAAAACTTTATTAGGCTTAAGTTAACAAACTATATTGTCAACTAATTTTTTTTTACCAAAACAATTGCTTTGGTCACCTAAGTTACAAGTTTTGACTAACCCAGTTGCAACAAATATGTATCTATGTTCAACCCACTATAGTAGAATTTTATCTCTTTACTTATCTTTCCTGCTATCAAAAAAACAAATAAATTACTAAATAGCATTTACAGGCATGTTATAATTGTTAATTTTCTTAAGACTTTCTTTTTCCTAATATTCAAGCAAGAAGATTTCATAATCCTTGTTTAAAGAATAACAAGTATATAAAAAAAACTAAACTAAAAAAAGTAAAGTAAAAAAAAAGAAAATACTACAAAAACCTAAATATAATCCAAATATAAAAAAAAGAAATAAAACAAAAAAGATAAAAAAAAGAAAAGGCCAAAAAAAAAAAGAAAGATATGAATATGCTATTTTCAAAAAAATGAACTTCTAATTGTTGTGCCCATATATGGTAATAAAAAATTATTTAATACTCCTAAAACAATCTCTACCTTTGTTTTACTTTGATATTAAAATAGTTTTATATTGTAGGGAAGACAAAATTTTTTTTATTTACTCTACAGATCTGCTATGTTATTCACTATAATTCATATATATAGAATGTGACTTCTTTATGACTAATTATTCCCGATTTGGTTATATAAGCAATGTCGATCCTTTGTAGAAAGTATACTGAACCTCCCACATTTTGAAAAAAATTTCAAAACAAATACTAAAAAACTTGGTGGGAATATAATAAAGTAGTTTTTGAAGTTAGGTATTTTAAATTTTCTAAAAGAGTGTCTTAAAAAATTCATTTGTTATTCCTCTTCTATTATGTTGCCTATGCTTGATTTTATTGACAACATGGTCTTGCTTTTTTCAAAGCACCACTTTCTTCAAAATTTTGTATACAAGGGTACTACCTGCTAGTTAACTTGTTTACTAATACTTTTGATTTGCATGCCAAATATATAAAGGAGTCCCTGAGTATAGCAGTTGACCTTTACAAGAACCATCTTCATAGTGCCTTCTTTTTCTTCAACAAAATTTTTGTTTTTGTTCAGTGGGAAAATTTGGTACAAGTAATTGTCAGAAAGAGTTTTAATATGTTTTATAATAAGTAAATTTGTTTAATACAAAAAAATAAATTATTCTAGTATAGTTAATTTTATTTTTCTTAAAAATTTTAAAAAAGATGCTTAATTTTGAATTTTTGATCAAAAAAAACAAAATTAAGCATCTTCTCTTTAAATTTTAAAATAAATAAAATTAACTATACTAGAATAATATATTTTTGTACTGAACAAATTTACTAATAAATATTATAATTTTCAAAATTTCTACTATTAATTATATTCTTATATTCTAAGAAAATTTGTTTAGTACATAAAAATATATTATTTGGCATAGTTAATTTTTATTTTTTCTAAATTTAAAAAGAAGATAAAGAAGATGCTTAATTTTGGATTTTTTGATCAAAAATTCAAAATTAAGCATTTTTTTAAAAATTTAAAAAAATATAAAATTAACTATACTAGAATGATATATTTTTATATACTAAACAAATTTATTTAGAGTATAAAGTTATTATTTATTAATTGGTGATCCACCAGTCAACTAGAAAATATTCATAGTAAAATATAACTCAAATTACTTATAAAAATTGAAAGTCTTCAAATATGTCATGTGTATATTTGAAGATTCTCAATTTTTATAAGTAATTTGAGTCACATTTTACTATAAATATTCTCTAGTTAACTGATAGATCACCAATTAATAGAATTTTGATTTATATTGTTTTTTTGGTAATTTTATTAGTAAAATTATAATAAATATTATAATTTTCAAAATTTTATTCTATATAAAATTGATTTAGTATATAAATTTATATATAATTCAAACTTAGTTTGCAAACTTTAAAATCAAATCAAACTAAACTTGTATTTAAAATTTAATTTGATTTAAGTTTGAAATAGACAAGTTTGAGTTTGGTTTGAGTTTGAATTTGTAAAAAATTTAAAGTTTGAGTTTGGTTTAATTTAAAGTTTGTCAAACTCAAATCAAACTCAAATCAAATCTCAGAACTCTATAATTAACCAATAAAATATATAATTTTTAATTAATACTATAATATTAGAAAATAAAAAATAAAGAAGCTTACAAACTAATAGATATACACGAAAAAACTTATTATTAATATGTAGAGAGTAGATAGATATGTATAAAGTGAGCAAATAAGATAGTTATTACTAATAAACTCAAACTATTAAAGAATCTATCATATAAGATATAATAAAACTTTAACTACTAATTTATATTAACAGGCTCAAACACACTACAAGAACCAACCAAATTTAAATATTAAATATAGATCTTCTTGTTAAAGAGCTTGTATCTATTCAAATTAAATAGTTAAAAATAAAAGCTTATTTAAATCTAATATAATAAAATAGTTTTAAATAAAAACATTTTTGATTAAGCAGTAGATATATTTTGCCTTCTAAGTAAAGTTTGCAGAGATACTGATATTACTAATTTTTTTTGTATAGTAAATATATATGTTTTATTAAAACAAAAAAATAGTAATTTTTTATTATAGTGCAAAACAGCAAGAGATATCCAATTTATACATATAGATGCCAATTTTTGGTGCTTATATAATCAACTATAATTGGCTAATTTTTGAGTAATTAATTTTGATTGGTTAAAAACCTATATGTTTTTTTTTTTTATATTAAATGTCAATTTTTTTAACTCATATAAACTTTAATTTCTTATAACTTTTTTAAAACAAAAAACCTTTAACAAAAATGTAGTTTATCTAAAAATCTATCAATTTGTCAAAAGGTTTTTTGATTTAGCTTGTTTTAAAAAAACTATAACAATTTAAAGTTTATTAATAGATGTTGGATGTCTTTTGCTATCCCGCATTGTAGTAAAATATTATGTTCCCAAAAAGTACTTTAAAGTGTATAAATAAGTTACCTGGGCAATTGATTTACATCAGCCAATTAGATGAATGTTCTCCTATAACCCTTAACCAAACAAAACAGCAGGAATAGTGCCCATATATAGAACCTTGTTCAACATTACACAATATATAAAATTTTTTTTATATACTTTTAAAATACATTAGATATCTTGTATTACTTGCTTGCATAATAAACTAAGTGCTAATATATTACTAAGTAAACTTGAAGCTTTCATATCATAGAACACAATATCTGCTAAATCTCTTTAAATCCCACTGTATTAACTTTATATTCTAAATGGAAAATGTTAAGAATATAAAAAGTTTGGCATATCAAAGTTTTATCAATTAAAAGACAAAACATAGAAGGAAATCTAAAGTAAAGATTTGGTAAAAAAAGGTAAAATGAACATATGATACTTTGTAATCATTGTTATATGAATTATGTGTCAAACCCTCTTGAAAGAAGAAATAAAGCTACTAATAAAGAAATTCTAAAAGCAACTAAAATAGATATTACAGAAACAGAAACAGAAGAAATAAGCATATTTAATAATTTTGAACTTATTGAAGTCATAAAATCTATAGTAAAAATTCTTTATAATAGAGAAGTTAAAGAAAAGCAAAAGCTCATTTATAATTTTGATGAATTATGGAAGCTACTTGAAAATCAAAATTCTAACTTGGGTTGTTTTTTTAAACAATTATATTTAGCAACACACCCATTGGATTGTAGCAGTCAAATCATAAAGCATATGAAAAAAATTATGATTTTTATTTGCTATCTTCTTGCTTTATTAAATAATATACAAATTAATACTTTTAAGTCGGATTTTGCATTCGGCAGAAACAAG